GATAGATAGATAGATAGATAGGTTGGTAGATAGATAGATAGATAGATAGGTAGATCGATAGATCGATAGATCGATAAATCGATAGATCGATAGATAGATAGGTGGATCGATAAATCGATAGATCGAGAGATAGGCTGAGAGATAGGCTGAGAGATAGGCTGAGAGATAGGCTGAGAGATAGGCTGAGAGATAGGCTGAGAAATAGAGAGAGATAGAGAGAGGTAGAGAGAGATAGAGAGAGATAGAGAGAGATAGAGAGAGAGATAGAGAGAGATAGAGAGAGAGAGAGAGGGAGAGAGAGATAGATAGATGGATAGATAGATAGATAGATAGACAGACAGATGGATAGATAGATGGACAGAGAGAAAGGTAGAGAAATAGACAGAGAGATAGTCAGATAGATAGTCAGATAGTGAGATAGATAGATAGTGAGATAGATAGATAGTGAGATAGATAGATAGCGAGATAGAAAGATAGATAGATAGATAGATAGATAGATAGTGAGATAGATAGATCGATCGATCACCTGATAGATAGACGGATAGATAGATCGATCGATCGATCGATAGATAGATGGATAGATAGATAGAGAGATAGATAGAGAGATAGATAGAGAGATAGATAGACAGAGAGAAAGACAGAGAGATAGACAGAGAGATAGACAGAGAGATAGACAGATAGATAGATAGATTGATTGATTGATTGATTGATTGAGAGATTGAGAGAGAGAGAGATAGATAGATAGATAGATAAATAGATAGATAGATAGATAGAGAGAGAGAGAGAGACAGATAGATAGATGGATGGATTGATAGATAGATAGATAGCTAAAAAGATAGATACAGAGATAGACAGATAGATAGATAGATAGATAGATCGATAGATAGGTAGATAGGTAGATAGGTAGATAGACAGATAGACAGATAGACAGGCAGACGGACAGACAGATAGATAGATATAGACAGTCAGACAGTCAGACAGATAGATAGATAGACATCTGCACATACAGTCGCGCACACGAACAAAATGAAGCCCTTAGGGGGCCCATTTCGGAGCCCGATCAACACATCCAAAAGCACAACGTCACATCGTCCTGGATGGGCATGTCGAGCTCCAAGGTGCTTGTGGCGTCGGACGCGAAGTCGCACTTCCCTGGCACCAGGGCTATGAACCGATATGAAACAACGACACCCCAATCTAAATCAACTATAAAATCAAAAGGAACTCAAAAGGAGCCAATGAAAGGCATATATATAATATAATCGTATATTTATTTTTCCCCACATTGAAAGAATTTTCCCTTGAATCGGGGTTCCATAATGAATCGGGGTTCCAAATCCTGGTCCTAATACTCTTCATGCAACTCATATACTCCATGAGCTGCATAGAGCATGCATTACTCTACTCAGCCCTCCATGCCGGGTGTTTCCCTAGTGCTCCGCTGCCAATGGTTCCTATAGTCGTGATTTGCTTTCTGACACTCAACGTCAGCTGCCATGTGTTTCTATGGCTTTGGCCTGCCTGAAGCCGCCCTGCCCGTTCTCCCTATTAGGCTGCCTTGCATTGCTGCTACGGCTATTTAGCATGCCTGTGGTCATTGGATATTCACACAAAAGACATCCAAAACCCATGCGGCTGGTGAAGCACCCATGTGCTGTGTATAACACAGACATTCTAACTTACCCCTCCGCAGCTGCTGCTAAACTCCAAAGCTTTCAACAACAGAAACTTCAAACATGTATGACAGAGTTTCCTTTTGAAGTAATTAGGGTTGAGGGTTGAATTTCGAAGGTTGGTGGGTTTAGGGTTTGGGGGCTAGGGTTTGTTAACTTTTTTCAAGTGAAGGTAATTAGGTATTATTAAGGGTTCAGGGTTTAGGGTTAAGGGTTTAAGTATGTTTAAGTTATTCTTTTTGAGAAGGTAATTTTCTTAGTTTGAGACAGGGCAGCGTTATTATCTCAGTAATAACACACCCACACAAACACGCAAACACAACAGTTCAGATCCGGCTAGCCCATTCATCTGGCAAAGCAGAAAAAACAAATATTGATATAATCGCCGCGCTATCGCTCGGGTTACGTCGTTCGCCAAACATTCAGGACATCAACATGAAATCCGAAAACGTGACAAGCTTTTTATTTTTGCGGTCCTGGTAACCTGGTAAGTTTGAAATTAGTTCTTGTCAGCAGCGTTCCCAGCACTTGATTTTTAATTTTGCGCACAGTATGAGAATGCTGGCGCCGAGCAAGCGTGTACAAGAAAGCGGTGCATGTCAAGGACATAACTGTTGCAATCCGCAAGATAAATTCTTGCAGAAAGCGGTGGATATCCAGGAACCCTTCACTCGGCAACATACACCGACATCGAACTGCAAGGGTCCCAGAAATACAAAAGACTCATGGACATCAAATTTTCTCAAGAGACCCTTTGTCAAATCTTTAGCAAGAGAAAATGTTGTTGAAAGACCACACCAAGGGCCCAGCCCTGTTTGCTTGAAAGCATGTGCCCTTTTTTTCCGGCCAACGCATCTAAAGAGTCAGTCTCAAAGATTCCGGCCGTGCACTACAAACTGCACATCAAGGGCGCGGCCCTTCGCTGCAAACTTCACACCAAGCGTGGCCCTGGGTTGCAAGCCTCGCAAAGACAAACTGTGTGAGGCAAACCTACAGTGCAATGTGCGCAGGGAAGCCACGCACAGCTCGAGCAACTGCCTGAAGTCCTCACTGGTACTTGCACTTCTTGATCTGCTGCGGCCAAAGCTTAGCCAATCATTCGGCGATCCTCTTCGGGGAGGCTTTTGAAGTAGGTCTTCAGAGCTTCGAAAACCAAAGGCTTGCTGGCGCAGGCCCCCTTGAATTTCAACGCTATAATTCCCGGGCTTCGCCGCTGTGAACAATCTCCCTATTAAAGCTGACTTGAACCATGGTGCACTACATCAATGATCCATAACAGTCTGTAACAGTAGAAAAACAGTTGCAAGGCATGCTGGCTGCTGTCCAACCTGGCTGCTGCCCAACCTAGCTCACATTGTGCGCGCCATTTTTCCCACCGTAAGCAGCACGACAGATCAGCGATCCACAAGCTAAGATCAAGCAACTGACTGAGCAACAACTAATATAGGTGACAGCCTAGTCAACATCCTGGGAATCGGCGGGCTGCTTGGAATCGGCGGGCTCGGGGTCAACGACTTGGTCATCGTCCACCGCATCTTCCTCTTCCCCTTCTGCAGCTTCCTTCTGCTCTGCTTCTGCCTCTGCCGCTTCCTCCTTTTTGGGATCGATTTCCTCTTCCACTGCAGCTTCGATTTCCTGGGGTGTCTCCTTGATCGCTGGCTTCTTCTCCGGAAACTTCTTTGGCAGTTTGGAGCCAATCTTGCTAGAACTCGGAGTGGCCGGCTTGCCCTCATCAGCGGTCTCGTCCTGATTGCCTTTGTTCTCATGGCCGCGCTTCGTGCCTCAGGGATCGGAACTACCAACTTTGAAATTGGAAAGTTGCAAGCACCAAGCTGGAAATGGCAGCCAAAATAATTTTCAATGGTTTTGATTCCGGAGCGCTGCCTCGATCTACAGCATCGAGCGGCTTCAGCTTGGCCAACAAAGCGGCCTCCAAGTCGAGCGCTATTACTCCCAAATTATGGGTATATACAAACAATGATTGCATCCTGAATTGATTCATACTGAATCCCCAGCCTTCACTTCCTCCACTTGCTGCTTAGTTTCACCTTGCAAGAAGTGCTGCCGGAGAATTTCCTGAGCATGGAAACAGAGTTTGAAAATGAAAAATATTTGCTTCATCAGTGAAATAAGTTGCTTGGGCTGAAGTGGCCAAATCGAATCGAATCAAGGCTGAGGTCTTGGCCGCAATCTTCTTGGTCTCAGCCACGTCATATCGGTGGCCACCCACCTGCAGCCCGATGCCCAAGAAGCACAGCGCCCCCACGCATCTGAGATACATACAAAATTGCCTGCAAGCTCTGTCAGGATCCACAGTCAAACACAACAAATACCAGTCGCTCTTTGGAAACAGTCACAAGCAAGGCACAGCAATCACTTGCTTGGGGCCACTCTTCAAGGTCCATGAGTTGCCGCTCTTGTGGAACTGCGGGTTGCTGATCTTAATGTCACCGCCAGCTTTTGCGGCAGGCCTCTTCATTGGTGTGCCCACAGCCATTTCCTGGCAGAGAGGTGGACACGCAGAACTGGAAACTTAAACCTTGGGCAAACAAGGTTGAACACATGTAACACCAACATCAACCGGGAACGCCTTGGGAACAGCAGGCGGCGGAGTAGCAGGGGGATTCCCTTTCTTGTTGGACTTGGTGGTCTTTGCTGCTCCCTTCGCCTTGGGCGTGGCCTTGGGCGTGGCCTTAGGCGTGGCCTTGGCTGTCCCCTTGGTCCTGGGTGGTGGCTTGTTGGGCTCCTCAGGTGCTGGTTTTTCAGCTGGCTCCTTGCTGGCGCTAGTGCCATTGTCTTCATCATCAGTCAACATTTCGATGGACGGCAGGACGGACATGTTTGCGAAAGCAGGTACTGACTTACTAACGATCCAGGTTTGATTGACCAATCGCTGCTGACATGTGACTAACTGCATGGACAGAATGCACGACATCTTCGAAATTACAGTAAGGTCAGCAGCCTAGCGAACAAAAACCCTGGCTGGCGCATTCACGAGCAAAAAGAAAACAAACAAATGACTTGTCTTGTCGATCACTTGCCACATTTTCCACACACGACGGGTCAATGTGGAACTGCCAGCTTTCACGTTTGAACCCCGGTGGTTCAAGTCTCTGGAAAATCAAAGTTGGGCTGCGCAAGTCTCATACTGCAAAACGGTGGGGCGGTCACCCGGTGACCCAAGACTCTTGCAAGACTGCCATAAAGTCCAGAGACTGAGCTACCACAAGACATGATACTCAATTATGCCAGCAGCCCAACTGATCCAAAACCTAACTGCCTCATAGGTCAAAGTGCAAAGATCTATCCGAAATCTTCACAAGAGCATCACGGCAGCTGGACCCAAGATTCGGGTGGGACTTTCACCATGGCCGTCAGGTACATCTTCGGCTTGACCGGCACAATCTTGTTGCCTTGCAACTGTACCTGCCAGAAGAAGTCTACATAAACAGAGCTGTTACAAAATATAAATGCACAACCAATGATTTCAAAACTCACTGCACGCGAGGTAAAGCTTCGAAGCCACCAAGTTCAATCAGTCCACCCCCCGTTTGAACTAATCCTGCAGCCTCCCACAGCACATCCACAATCTTGGACTCTGGGAGCTGCTCCCACTTCCCGACCCAGGAAGCTCCCATATTGTTGAACTTGATCTCGGAAGTTTGCTGCAACGGGTTGGCACGGAACACGTTGGTCCGGGAGGTCACGGGGTGAATGTTGTAACGGTATGCAACTGGGACCTGCTCCTGCTCCCCTTCAACCTCAAATTGCACCAGCTTCGGAAAAAGAAACTGTTCACAACCAATCAACTTTAAGAAAATTGTCCAGCCCCCAAACTAAAAAGAGGCAAGCGAACAGCATCTTAAGTTGCGGCCAGCAACCGCTGCATGGAGCTTGGGCTCAACCACATGTTCCAAGATGGACACTTCACCCAAGCCGTGATTCACGGCACAAGAGTGGAGGTAGCGGCACAAGGGGGTGGCAACCTTGTCCACGACGATAAGGTCCATGTCGGACACCACCCTCCACGCCACTCCAGATACATCACGCTTGTTGTGCTGCCTCACCACTTTAAATTCGAAGCTGCCAGTATTGAAACCGAATAACTCTCCTGAGTAAGTGCATTCACCATCCGCATTCGGATTTCCAAGCCAGATGCGGTAGTGCTTGTCAATGAGCACCGAGGGGCGGGCTCCTCGTCCGACGACGCAAGCAATCCTGCCACAAACAACATTTGCATGTGACTACAGAATCTGACACAAAAGCTCACAAACAATTAGTATGATGACGGCTGGAGCCCTCAATTTTGAAATTGAAAAACTTTCTAATCACAAGAAGCATGCGCACAACTTCAGCTTTCATCCGTTGAAAGCCACAAATCCCCCAAAAGAAAACTTGCACCCTGCCTGTCTGCGGGAGGAGGGGCTGCTTCGACCAAGAGATCAACCAGGCGGCTCACGTCAAGAGGTTCCTGCCCGCCCTCCACTGAAAAGTCTGGTTGGCCAGTGGCTCGCACTTGAGCTGGCGTGGTCCGGTTTCCTTGGCCACGGGCTGCCTCAGAGGGAGGAAATTCGGCAAGGAAAGCCTGCTTCAGCGCCAGCAGCTCCTTGCCTTCGGCTGACTCTGCATTGAACTTGGAATCCAAACTCCCTGGCCAGACAGGGCCCTGGTCGGTGGAGCTGAGCAATGACAAGCCTTCCACACACCGGTTGGTCTGCGGCTTTGGCCTTGTCTTCGCCGGTGAGGTCGACAGGGCATCCCAATGTTGAAAGACTTTGGCTTCGATTTCGCCCTGCACCTTCTTGTGAATCGCAGGTGCTCCAGGTTTGCTCTCTGGATCCTCTCTGAAAATGCCATAGTAGATGACTTCTGGCAGGCCAGCCTGACGCGGCTCCAATGCCATGTCGACAACTGCCTTGCTGAACTCTGCGTACCTGGCCAGGCTTAAGAACCAACAAATTTGCAAAATGTTCGCTTCTGGAAAAAAGTACAATACAGTTGCTCCCAGAAAAAAAACATACATTGACATAAAATACGTGGCAAAGGCCAGCCACGTGTTGGGCAACGCATCGAGCCAAACCACGCAATCATTCTCACAATCGAACGGCATGCCCTTCAGGTACCCTTCGACAATCATACGATGGCAGGCAATGCCCTTCCTTGCTTGTCGGTTCCACAACTCAAGTCGTGACGGCAGAACAGGCAATCAAACTTGAATTCATGGCAACAAAAATGCCAAAAAAATGAGGAAAAGTCACAACAGCACAAGGCAGGGGAACATAGAAGTTACCAACTCTAACCCAGATTCTGCTCCAACCGGGCAGCTGCTCCAGGGCGCTGACCGTTCTCAGGATCATAACCCTCCATGTCGGACACCTTCACAAGTGGCAACCCTTGCAGGATGCCGGATTGGTGTGCTTCAGACTCCTGCCACTTGCAAACCTTTGTCGCAAAAGGACTGACACAGGACTGGGTCAAAGGACGTTTGTCGGTTCCCGGTCGGTTGGCATCCTTGGAAAAAAGCAATGTGACCTTCTGAGTAATGTCGAGGTCGGTCTTGAGGAGGGCATCTTCAAGTCGTCGAGCATGCTTGATCAACGCATGCATCGTCGTTGCCTGGTGGAATGATGGGTTCTGGACGTGGCCGCAATTCTGAGGGCCCAATGCACACACGTTTTGGAGTAGCGACACACAATCCAACAGGTACTGGGTGTTTGCTGGCCAAACGGTCGCATCGATGCTGCACATGACATACCTGATGGGCAAAAAGCCGGACAATAATAATAAACAAATGAATTACAGTAATGAATTACTGTCGCCACCAAATGACATTACTATAATTAAGATTATGATACTTATGAAGATTATTATTATCATTAACAGTCATTACTATATTATTGATATTTAATATGCATGTGTATACATATATATATATATATACATTTAACATATTATATATATATATATATGTCTAACTATCTATCCATACTATCTGCCTATCACTACAAAAATTAAATATTTGTATATAAGTATGTATCTATTTTCAAAAATGCATATATATATACTGTATTAAAGGAATATTATATTTATATATGAATAGATATATATATATATAATTATTGTAAAATCGTTTTGTAAATATACATTGAATATTATACATACTGCGCATTAAACAGTTTGATACTATTGAAAAAACATTTAGTATGTATAATATATATATATATTATAAACAAATTGAAATGTGTGTGCATATACATATAATGCAAGTTACATATCAATATTGCTATTGATGTTTTTGTGGCATTCTAATTTGCCACATGCTAATTATGTCGCATCTTTTTCTGGCATGCATTGACATTCTGATTGTCAATTCATCTGACAATTTCTACCTGACATTTCCACCTTTTAGATAGTTCCTGGCATTCAGTTCGCATGGCAATCTTGGTGATTTTTTCTGACAGTCTATCTGACATACTTGCACTATTACACATGTTTCTTGCATTTTTTCTGGCGCTAAAAACTGGCAATCTTAACATTCGCGTTTGAGATTCTGTAGAATCTTTCGTTCATCTACTATGAAGCATGTATGGGGCTGACAATGACATTTTACCTGCCATTTTCCATCCTGGCATATTTACATCTGCCATTCTATTTGACATCTGCCTGAAAAATAGTATCCCGACCTTTGCAGAAGTGGCATTCTATGATTCTATCTGAAATATTCTTATGGGTTTATCCCGCAATGTATCGCACATGCTGCCTGGCCCTTTTTTCTGACATTTCAGAATAAGTTTGATTCCTAAACACAATCTATCTGGCAGTTTGCTGCCATAATTAGAATTACATCTTAAACAGTATACTGTTCGGGCCCGACAAGGATTCAGACGTCCTGCCAATCTGCATGCAGCACATGGCAGGAAAAAGAGGTGGAAAAATATAGACGCTCGTATTGGAAACAATCAAACACCTGGGTTCTAGGCGAAGCACACAGTCCCAGGGCCACCCCCAAACTGCTCTGAGATGTACTTCGTGAAGCCACTGAGGGTGCCATGCATGTTGGATCCATCTCCATCATCCCTCATGGAAACGTAGACGATGCGGCAGTGCTTCTCCATCCACTCCTCAACAAACTCATACCCTTTCCTTAGCCGTCCGCCAAACACAAGCACTGTGGAAATAGCTACTCCGTTTCGGGTTACGCCACCTCAATCAAGGAAACACCTCAAACAAGGAAACACCACCCGCAAACTAAGACCTTGATTGGCAAACCAAGGCTCTGCTGCCTCTCCTTCAAATATTTCACATCGAGCGCAGTCTCCCGAGTTCGACTCTCCTTGGTGGGAAGCTGGCTCCGGATTCGCACCAAATCACTTTCAAGCTGTCCCTTGAGTTGATCCAACGTGGCTCGGGCCACCTTCTGGGCAAGTTCTTGCGCTTTCTCTTCTTGTTCTAGTGCCTGCGAAGATTCATGGGTGACAACCAAGTTCCTGGCAGGGGAACAGCTCACTTGAGACTGATTTAAATTTTATTTTCGTTTTCAAACCCGTCCTGAACGCACCAACACCGCGCAAGTCACCTGGCGGGACCGCTTTCTCTGACTGGAGCTTCAGTTCGGCATCCATTCCGCCAAGCATGAAAACGCTCATCAACCTCTCGCGCGCAGCAGGGAACTGCGCACGCGGCAAAGTACTTTCCAGGATGCCGAGAAAATGGAGAAACATAGCGCAATGCTGGTGGAGCAGCGATACCTCCTTGAAGGTGAAGCTCCGCTTCATTTGGTCCGAAAGGCCATCCCAATCACGACAATACCGCTCCAGGAGCAGCTTCACCTCGACTGTAAATCTGAGCCACTGCAAAATTTACTGAAGCTTGGCCCTGGCCTAGAAAATATAACTTACTAAACCCATGCTTGTCACAACAAGGCTGAGCTGCCAAAGCCCCATCATCAGTGTTGGTCATCACTACAGTCCAGGATTCCGTCGGACCACTGCCACTGGTCCAGCCGGTGCTGAAGACCCCACGCCCCAGCACTTCGTGCGAGAGAAAACCCTTCATGCCCCTCTTGGCGACGAAATCCTTCAGCATTGCAACCACCGGCTTTTCAATGCTGGACTGAAGAGCAGAGACCGCGGCCCCCTCCCACTTTCCAATGTTGAACGCCCTGCAGACGGCAGTGCTGTTGGACCAATCCTTGGCATGCATCCAAACTTGGTGGCAAAAAACTTTCTTCCAAAGAAATCTGGTGGCTTGCCTTGATTGTAGACGCCTTAAAATCTCACTCAAGCAAAGCAGGCTTTACTGTGGATTATCGCATTTAATTTGAAGGGGTAGGGTTTGAAGCTTTTAGGGTTTGAAGGCTTCAGGGCTTGCAAGGCTGGAAAGTCTCAGCGCTGATGACCATTCCAAGAGATAAGCTTTGAAACCTGTTTTTCCCCAACGCTTTGAAAAATTGCCACAGCAAGGCGCTGGGCCAAAGGTACGCGCAATATCCTCCTTTATTATTTCAAAAAATCCTGATCGGCCCCCATTGCGGAGACCGCTTGGGCCTAGCATCGCATCTTGCAGCAATAAGAATAAATTTTAGATTTAGATGCAGTTTGAGCCTCCAGCCCATGACAAAAGTGAAACACTTATACCACACCAGGGAACCCCCAAGGTCACACCTGGCACCATGAGACCTAAGCCTAGCTTCATGGCATTTTGTCAAAAGAAATGCAAGAAAGGCGTCAAGGCCACAGGACAAAAAATATGTCGACTCCAAACAAAGTCTGTGTCTGTAACTCAAGGTTCCTGGGTAACATGCACAATGAAACAAAGGAATCCTCTATTTCAAGGCTCAACACGAAAACTTAACTTGGGATGAGCAACTTCGAATTGGGACGTGGCACCCCCATACCCGGCTTTCGCCAAGCACTCCACCTGCCGTAAGAAATTAAAGCAGTGTGGAGGACGTCGCGTAGATGTGCTCTGTAAGGTGATCCCCCTGTTTGCGAAAACTTGGTCGCGGAGTGACCCAAAGGCCGGCGCAGTACAGTACACCGTCCTTGCCGATACCTTGGTTGTGCAAGAGATCAACAAGCTGATGGATAGTCCCATTCTCTTTGCTTCACACTGGACCATTTTCGAAAAACATCAACAATCTGATTGATAAGTCCTTTATCTCACTGCTGTGTGTCTGCAAAAACAATGTCACAATCAAGCCACGACCAGCCGCTCGGGCAGGTCCCCAGCCGTCATCCCAAGAATCTTGGCACCAGCACAAATTGTGAGCAAGGACATTGCACGTTTCCATCCCTTGACGAAACCGATGGAAAACGGAGGAAGCTCACCACCTGAGCAGCACCGGCAACCACTTAATGGTTGTATTTCCAACTGGCACAAAGGGACTGGCAAAAGCGAAGGTGTGCAAACAAGTACAGACCGAGACTAGGACGGTCTGGGTGAAGCGGCTTCATCGCCACATACGGGGCATCCAACATTTGCGAAGCACCCGGGTCACAAATGGTCAACTTTTCCACGCCACCGAGGTCTGGATTGGATCGAAACCTGATCTCAAGACTCGAGTGTTCAATGTGGACAAGTCTCGTGAATGTAGTTCAACCCGCATGTGACGAATGCCTCAAGCAAACAATAAGAAAAGAAAACCGGAGCTCATCTCATGAGATCCGAAGAACCCATTGGTGATGATCAACTGCACCATGTTGATCAACTGGTCGGGTTCAGACATACCAGAGTACCCGAAATCCTTGCGGTAGCCCAGCATGTAGGGACGTGCGAAACAGGGACCGGTGCCGATCTCTGACACATAACTTTTCCTTTGTGGCTCAGGAGCGGATCACATGCTAAAATTTACTCTCTCCAGCCACGCAACTGAGAAACTCGGAGCAGAAGGGGTAGCTGCACAACTGAGCCAAGCACGAGGAGTCCGGTGGGAATAACTCATCAATGTATCGGGCAAATTCCTCCAGCTTGGCCTACGCATGTTTTTCTTGGCAAAAGTTCTGGCGTCAATTTAGCAGAACCATCCCTCAATATGAGCAATTCACTGATGCTTCACAACATAGGTGTAGCAAAAAGGCAACTGCTATAAGCATCATCGGGCAACCCCAACAGTGAGACACTGACAGGGACTGGCCAAAGCATCTTTAATAAATGGCGCTGTGACGAAATGAGATAGCGGAATAACATCACAAAGCATCACCATGCACACGACCAACCGCAAAATGACAATGACAACCTTGGAGTGTTGAAGGCTGGCCGTGCCTCTGTGTCGAAGGTCTTGTCCATGAAAGCTTCAAAGCTACCCAGGGGAATCACTTCCTTCTGGACCCTTGGCAGACACGGCTGATCACTGCAACCTTCAGAAAGACTGTTGGACGCCCTTGCTGAAAACTGCATGTCCTGAGCAGCTGCGAACAAGAAACCAATCGCAAATAGCAGTGGTCGTGGGACATGTGGCCACCGGAGTAGCAACCGCCTTCACAGATTTACCCCCTTTCTTGTTAGGGTCAGTTCCCAGCGACTTCCTTTTGGCCATGTTGTCAACCACCCTGGAGAAAACCCGCAGGGCACAAAGGTCTGAGCCTAAGCCTGGTGGTGGGCAGGCAGCAAGAAATTGGCTTAAACCCCACACTCATTAAAAACCGTTTGAATTCAGCGATGCTACGCAAAATGCAAAATCTCAAGCTCATCTCGCTTTCAAACAAAGGACCCGTTTGGTTTGTCCACATATGTGCAAAACTGGCCTGGCCAGGCTACCCTATCGAACCTTGCCCCCCCACACAAAATTTATTCTCCAAGTTTAAGAGCAAACAGGAGAGACCTTTGAAAGCTCAAGCTTTTTTGGCGACAGCACCTTTTCCAACATACTTTACATTGCTGAATGATGTTGAATGTGAAACTAGCCAGCAACTCCGATACGAACACAGAAACCCCAAATAAAAGGGTGACGCTTTTTATGTACCAAAACTTGGAAACCTTAGCCCAGGACGACAAACAACTATCGAAAACGAAACCCACTGCAAGCGCCATGTCCCCAAACCCAGCTTTTTTTGGGCCTTTGGTTTCCCAAGGAACTTCGAACTTTAATCCGAACGACATAGACACAAGGTGTCTCAGGGTACAGCATGTTGCTTGCTTCGCAAAAGTTGGGATGCAAGGTTCTCCGGAATTAAAATTGTATTTTTTTAAGTGTATAAAATGTGTTTTTGTAACTTTTTGATACAAATTCGTTAGAGCACCCTCTCTCGGGGAACGGTTGGAATTTGAAGTTTAAAGTTGTCAGGGTTGAGGGTTCATAATCCATTAAAACCTTTAAGCGTCGGTTGTTATTGCCCGTTTATTGCATGTAAAATGCTTGTTGATAAATTTCTAAAGCACCCTCTCTTAGGGAACGGAATGTTGCCCGTTTTTCGGTATTTAGGGTTTAGGGTTGTCAGGGTGAGGGCTTATTTTTATCCTTAATATTTCAAGCAATCAAGGGTTTAGGGTTGTCAGGACTTTTTTTATCCTTAATATTTCAAATAGTCAAGGGCCTCAATAGTTTAGGGTTGTAGGGTTTTATGGTTATCCTTCATGGGGGGCGGGTGGAAATTTAGGGCTTAGGATTGTCAGGGTTTAAGGCCCGTTACCTCTAAAATGTATTTTTTACAGATTAAAGTTTTCAAAGCACCAAGGTTTAGGGTTTAGGGCGTTAAGGCTTCATGGGTTTTGGGTTTTAGGGTTTAAGGTTTTAGGGTTTAGGGTTTAGGGTTTTAGGGTTTAGGGTTTAGGGTTTTAGGGTTGTCAGGGTTTTATCCATAAATCCGACACTAACAGAATCTTTGATGGCTCCTTGCTTCATCCATCAAAACTTTTAGTATCGGAGTTCAAGACCCGACACTACAAACATTTTGAAGGGCTCATTTCTTCATTCATTGAAAAAATGGCCCCAGATTTTAGGCAGAATCCGACACTAACACCCTTTTCAAAAAAGTAACCGGTTTTTGAAAATCCGACACTAACATCATTTTAAAGGACACCATTCTTCATCCATAAAAACTTTTAGTGTCGGATTTCACCTAGAATCCGACACTAACATCATTTTAAAGGACACCATTCTTCATCCATAAAAACTTTTAGTGTCGGATTTCACCTAGAATCCGACACTAACATTTTAAAGTGACACAGAAATTCATCCATATTTTTTTTAGTGTCGGATTTCACATAGGATCCGACCCTAACATTTTAAAGTGACACAGTGCTTCATCCATAAAAAAAATGAGTGTCGGATTTCACCTAGAATCCGACACTAACATTTTAAAGTGACAACATTCTTCACCCATAAAAACTTTTAGTGTCGGATTTCACCTGGAATCCGACACTAACACCATTTTAAGGACACAGTTCTTCATCCATAAAAATTTTTAGTGTCGGCTTTCACCTAGAATCCGACACTAACATCATTTTAAAGGACACAATTCTTCACCCATAAAAACTTTTAGTGTCGGATTTCACCTAGGATCCGACACTAACATTTTAAAGTGACACAGAAATTCACCCATAAAAACTTTTAGTGTCGGATTTCACCTAGAATCCGACACTAACATTTTAAAGTGACACAGTTCTTCATCCATAATTTTTTTTAGTGTCGGATTTCACCTAGAATCCGACACTAACATTTTAAAGTGACATCATTCTTCATCCATATTTTCTTTAGTGTCGGATTTCACCTAGAATCCGACACTAACATCATTTTAAAGGACACAATTCTTCATCCATAAAAACTCTTAGTGTCGGATTTCACCTAGGATCCGACACTAACATCATTAGTTTTGCTATTAGCTTGTTCAAAATCACATGTCCCTGGAGAACGGAATGCTGCCCGTTTTTTGGTATTTAGGGTTTAGGGTTCTCAGGGTTAAGGGCCCATATTTAACCCATAATCACTGCTAGTGTCAGATTTCACCTCACATCTGACACTAACAACATTGTAAACATTTTTCATTAAACCTTTATTCAAAACCACATTCTCTCGGGGAACGGAATGCTGCCCGTTTTTCGGTATTTAGGGTTTAGGGTTCTCAGGGTTAAGGGCCCATATTTAACCCATAATCACTGCTAGTGTCAGATTTCACCTCACATCTGACACTAACAACATTGTAAACATTTTTCATTAAACCTTTATTCAAAACCACATTCTCTCGGGGAACGGAATGCTGCCCGTTTTTCGGTATTTAGGGTTTAGGGTTCTCAGGGTTAAGGGCCCATATTTAACCCATAATCACTGCTAGTGTCAGATTTCACCTCACATCTGACACTAACAACATTGTAAACATTTTTCGTTAAATCTTTTTTCAAAACCACATTCTCTCGGGGAACGAAATGCTGCCCGTTTTTCGGTATTTAGGGTTTAGGGTTCTCAGGGTTAAGGGCTCATATTTAACCCATAATAACTGTTAGTGTCAGATTTCACCTAACATCTGACACTAACAGCATTGTAAACATTTTTCAATAAATCTTTTTTCAAAACCACATTCTCTCGGGGAACGGAATGCTGCCCGTTTTTCGGTATTTAGGGTTTAGGGTTCTCAGGGTTTAAGGGCTCATATTTAACCCATAATAACTGTTAGTGTCAGATTTCACCTAACATCTGACACTAACATCACTGTAAACATGTTTCATTAAACCTTTATTCAAAACCACATTCACTCGGGGAACGGAATGCTGCCCGTTTTTCATTTAGGGTTTAGGGTTGTTATTTGTTTCAATCTACATGCCTTTTAGTGTCGGATCCTACCTAACATCAGACACTAAAATCATTGTAAAATGTGACTGTACTTTTTCGCTATCATTTTTTCAAAAACATCGGATTTCGGAGATGCTGGGCTGGCGAAATGGGGAAATAAATTGACACTTCAAGCTCGCATTGAATGCCCACTCTATAGTGTCCAAAGCCAGGTGGGATCCGACACTTGCAGAGTCTGTCAACCTCGTTTTCAGGCAGGGCCCAACTCCTAGGCTATGCCAACCATAACCAAACACACCATCCAAGTGATGAAAAGGACCTAGGATTCGACACCTAGGCAAGTCAAGTTCGCTAACACTTTTAGTGTCGGATCCTCCCCTCAAACACTGAGCCATAGTGATGGGTTTGTCACCATGGTCAAACATAGCTGCAGCACAATGACTGCCAATCACAACACGCCTGGTGATTTGAAGCTTTGAATGCACAAGATTGGCAATCATCACTGTACCCTACTCTTTGCTTTGGCTTTTGGCTTTTTCTTTGCCATCGGCCCAATAATTTCGTCTACTTTGTTGACAGCCCGGGTCGCCAAATCAAGTGCCTCATTCCATGGAACCCCTGCCGACCATGCTTCAGCTGCGGCTTCTAAACTCAAAGCCCTTTTGGCCTTGGCAATGTATTTGTCTGCATTTTTGCGATCGTCCTTGCCTGGGCCGAGCCTCGGACCGCAAAAGAAAAACATGCCATCTAGAATTTGGATCATGTAGGCAGAAGCTTAAAAGCAAATTCCTGAAGCCCAAGTACAGCCAAAACGACACCATACAACTTTGCGCAGCTGAACTCAAACACCATCTTCAACACAAACTTCAAACAAGGGAAGATGGAATCTAAGTTGGAACATCTGTCTACAAGACTGCTTGCTGACTAAATATAAAACCCTTGCCAAAAACCAGCTCAGACATGTGAAGACTTTGGTGTTTCCAAGAAATTTCAGATTTTATCCGCTGAGTCACTTCAAGGCGTTGGCCTTGGGCTCAAATGTCTTGACTCGATCAAATCCAGGACGTTCAACGCTCCGAACCACTTGCCTGAAGGAACACCTGGGCAAGTGATTGATTGCTGTGGAAATCATTACAAAATGGGGTCATCATACTTTAGGGTGACAGAAATCATCTAATCTGCAACTCATTCAGCACCGAGGCGCGCTGAGACATCCAAAAGCGGCGCCAATTCCAACACACCTTCCACCCAATCTTCATAATACTGCGCAGCATCATTGAGGCCATAGGAACGAAGAGCAGGCACATACTTCTTCAAATGGTCTCTGTAATCCTGCGCCAGCTCGTTGTTCTCTGCAATGCCTGCAACAAACACTGCAATCCAAAAGAACAATCAATATTTTAGAACCTTCCGACTAGTAGGCTAGCTTGATGTAACCAATATCAATAGCACGCAAGCCTACTGGAAGGCCGTCCGGGATCTTGACGTCCCCCACCACCGCAGGGTAGAAGAGGAGACAACTGTTGAAATCCTTGTCCTGCATGTACTGCTTGGTCCTGGGCTACCGGCCGCGGACAGCCAAAACCTTGTGGGTGCAAGAAAGTTTTAAGAGAGCAAGAGATAGTATTCCTGTCTTGGGGAGGACCGGGCTCAATTTTTTCAATTGCCCAAGCCGTAAATATGACCATAGAAGAGCTATGTGCTAGGATCAGCGACATTGCTGCGTGTGTGTGCGGTGGAAAATCAAATGACGTATATAACGCACACTGTTGAAACTGACAACTTCAAGAGCACTGCCAAAGATATCAGATATGGGACCAGGGCAGAGTCATTCTTGATTCAACAGATGAGAAATCTCAAACATCACATCTCAAAACCTGGAACTCTCTTTTTATTTCGTTACCTAAGGATGGGACCTCCACCACCGAAAAGAAATTGCAGTTGAGGAGCTGCACAAACACGTCGTTTGGCCGGCGCTCTTCCTCGCTTATCTTCCAATAAGAATCCTGACTTTGCAAGGCCGCACTAGCACCTCATGCTGCCAAGGGCAAGTGGCGGTTGACTTTGAAACTAGCATGGTCTCAGTTTGACCCCTTAACAGAAACAGTTCAAGATGCGCATATGACATATATAACTATCAAAAACGAATCGCTGATTATAGCTTCTCAAACCTATGTATAAACCACTCTTTGGCTGGGTTGCCCAAGTTCTCTCGTCTGGAGATCTCGAAATGATGTGGAGCACCAGGGCCGCCAATGCCAGAAAGCATGATGGGGCACGCTCCACTCAAGAACTCTTTCCTGGTGTGGGGCAAAAAATTACCCGGACCCTTAAATTGTGTTGGCAAGTCCAAGAGAGGAAAAAGTTGACATATTCCGTCACGATCTTTCCAAAACAAATGACAAAACAAAGCCAACATCAAGTTTCCACGGGCGATGCTGATCCAAAAGGCAAACAGAACGCTCAGCTTCAAAAGGCCGATCACATGTGGCGCAAAATGCCTGAATGATCTCGCAGAATTGAGAAGGTGTTTCCACGCAACGGCCGCGCTTCACAATGAACAGACTTAGGGATCCAAACGTCTGATCAATATCCTCGTGGCTGTGACCAGACCTGAGGTGCCGCATCGAAGCTCCCGCTAAGATGCCTTCACCACTGCCAGGGCCAACAAATAAAAAAGGCCTCTTCACCCATATGACGAGCAAAAAGAAGTCTTGCACTGAATCGAGAACCAGTCACGCTGCTGCACTAGGCAGCAAAGAAGCCTCAATGTCGTCGAGTTTTTGGTCTCGCGACTGGTATTATCGGCAAGTAAGTGGATCACCGTGTCGCTCAACCTGACACCCTGTCGTTCCAGCCGTGTGAGCATGTGGCAGAAAATTTCAGCCATGCACGAGGAGTCTTTGGCATGCTGGGGGTTGCTAACAGTGAAAGCAACGCCAAAACCGTGGGCGATAATTCCAACTATCCCCAGCTTTGGCCGAATCAGAGTGGCCAGATCCTTTCCGCGACACAGCTGTGCACGGGGAAATGCAAACTTGCATTGGTCCATTCCATCCTGGATAATGGCAATGTGCCCCAGGCTCCGCAGTCTTGACGAGCCCCTCAAGCTCCAGTAAACAAGCCGGTCGCGATACTGCATCATCAAATGGGCATGGTACAGCTTGGCTTGGTGCTGCCTGGCGTACAGGTAAGGTGCAAGTTCTCTCAGGAGCACACGGTGATGTAAGCACACACTGCATTGGGCGTGGGATGAAACGGGTCTGAACCGAAGGTGTTCAAATTCAGTCCTCCAAGTTCTCCAGAACGTGCTGAAACTAGCAGCTTGATGCCCCTCCATGCACTTGTACTGTTCGTAGTAATCTTGCATGCATCCAGGGGGGAGCCAACGGGGCTCCAAACCGGAAGTTTCCGGCTTGCGTTCAACATGCACCTTGAGCCCTTTCTTGAACTTTCTGGTCTTGGTGCCCCTGTTCAGCTTCACGGTGATGTGAGGATCGCATTCTCTGTCTTCAGCTCGAAATGATGCGGCCTCAATGCTCGGGTCGTCCCTTACATCTGGCAGGTTCTCGGCAACACTCTCATATATGGTCTGAAGGAAGGAGACAATCCTGCCACAGGAGTAATCACCGGTCAAACGACTCGCTGGGCGGCTAAGATATCTCAAATCTGCAGGTGGAGCTTCCGCCCCTTGACGAGCATAATCCCACAAGCGACTGAATCTGCTTTTGCCTTGGAAAATTGCCCCGCGCGGTCAAAAGCGTGGACCAACTTGTGTTACCAACCTTTAGTTCAATTCACAAACAACCGTAAGAAGGCATTGCCATGTTACCCATTGCATGCAGTGCCATCCATCCACGGCGGCGAACCGCCACTCGACATTGCCATCACCATTGGGGCGAGAAGCCAGCAAGGCTTTAATCCTGTCGAATACCTCATTGAGAAACAAGCCAAGGGAACGTCAAGTCACCGAGGTGGTTTGCTAGGGTAGGTGTGTTGAACAGATATCCCTTCATGGATATGGGGAGCGAAGAAACCCTTCAATGGATTGAATGCCACACGCTTTAGAGACTGCTCAATGGGTACATCTTAATGCGTCCTTGGTATTTCCCAGCATCGGATCTAGCAATTTTCCTGTTGGTTTGTTTGTTTGGCACCCACACAAAAGCCCCCCCCCACTGACAAACCATGCAGATACTACGAAAGGAGAAACCAATGGGGTAGACTTCTGGGAGCCTCTTCTCGGGGTGGAAAACCCATCACAAGAAGCCTCGTCCAACACATCCAAAGCATTAAGTTTGGACAGTTTGCTCCCTTCACCAGAAAACTGAACCACCGAAATTCCAGACAGGTGTGGGCATGATAGGGCGAAGTGACTGAATTTTCATTTCGTGAACTACAATGCACAGAGTAATCGACACCAAAGCACGACCCTGTCTTGATCCAACTTGTGCATGTCTTTCCACTTCTGCCGAAAGTCCATGAAGTTGCTGAACCGCCTCTGTGACTGAAAAACTGCCAGGCAAGGCCTTTTGCATCCCTTGCATATTCTTCCCAACGTTGCTTTGCAATGAACGTCGCTCACAAGTTTTTCGCGCAAAGTCAAGCAACCAGGGGCCTTCTTGCGACTCCTTCGTTTGCGCTTCCGAACCCCCACATCTTTCAAGTCAGCACCATGGCTGCTCGAGTCATCTGTGAGATCTGACACTGGCTCCCAAGTGGAAGAGGCGCTGCGACTCACCAGTCGTTGAACTTTTTGTCTAGGAGTCAGAGTCAATCCTTTCTGCAGCAGCTTGTCTCCGCCATCATCATCGCTGGACAACGCATGGATGCTAGGAAGCGACGGCATCGTCTGCCAGAAACAGAAAATCGAAACAAAAAACAATTCACACCTGGACAGGACTCTTATGGCAACCCTTTGCTGTTCAAGATGAACCTATGTCGAGAGCATGGCTGCTAAAGAAAGAATTGGATCTGGAAATTGCCAAATCTAATTGTTATCATCAGGGGGTCTCCAACACAACTCGCCTGCAAAGGATTGACAGCCGGCTCATTCTAAAGCATGCGCTGGTGCATTGCAAGATCCATCATGCCAAACTGTCAACAAGCGAAACTTGAAGATAATTTTCCATTCCCCTAGCAACGAAATGCCCATGGAACTGCCGGCTCAAACCCTCCATCAGAAGGAGATAGGCAACCGCAGTAGCTGTCTACTCACTTCAAACAAGCATCTCTGAATCATGGTGAAAAAGAAACACCATGTTCTGCCACTGGGTCACCTACTTCATGTGGGAAAGCAGCTTCTGCTCTCCATCAAAAAAGGGCGGCTTCGCAGTCTGAGCTCAAGTCTGGCCCCTGACAAAGCACGCTGCTCCAGACCAAAAGTGCACACAATTTGTTCATAGAAATTTAAAGCAGGAAACCACCCCTGACTCTCTGACTGGCTTCGCCAAACCTAAATGTCGGTGAAGCTTTCAATCAGCAAGCCTCGTTTGGGCTCACTGTGTGCTCTGCGGCGCGAGACTGATCAGCGACAAGTGGCGACGGCGTCGTGACCTTTGTACGTTGGTTTACCCATTCCAACAACGGACCAGCGTGAAAACGGGTGCCCTTTAAATCAAAATACTCAAAAATCCAAACCGAAGCACTGGATTGTCCGCTTCTTGGTCCATCAGCAAGTATTTATTGCGAGACAACAGGACACACATGACATTGTCCATCTCCGACCCATCAGGGGTCCTGCAAGATGGAATGAATGGGGTTTCAAAAAGAACGCTGATAACATGTGACAACATGGTTTGTAAACTTGGCCCTGCTCGCACCTGGGGAGGGAGCGAACTTCAACCAAAGGCTCGGACTCATCTGACAAATTCGAGTCCATGAACACAACGCACATGTGGACATAGATGTCAAAACTCTCCCCGTAGATGAAGACAGCACCATCAGCTGCACCAGGTGGCACAGTGTGACGCGGAGCAAAATCATCGGAAGTCTTGGCCAAGATGTTGGAGAACAGCATCCTGACATCAGTCAGCACCTACCTGATTCAGAAACACCCCATGCTGTAACAGTATACTTTAGGACCCCACGAAAAACCATAGTTGTCGAAAGATATAAAGAGTTCTCACATTGCAAGCAATTTGAAACTAATGCAGCCTGTGGACGCAAACTGCCGAGCACCACTGTCGCACGCCGCAGTAAGGAGCAATGCTGGTTCGTCCATGACTAGTACTTGCATGACTTTGGTGTAGCTGAAAATCACCATATCCTTTCCCTGCATCCTGGGGACCAAAACATCTCTGACATACTCCTCTGAAGGAACTTTTGGCTCGGTGCAAGTAGCATCCCTGCAGCGCCTGAAATTCGCCACAGCCATAGTAGCAAACGCAAAAACGATCTAAATGGGCCACAAAGCTTCGCTCTTCGCAGGGCAGTGGGAAAGTTACTTTGGATACCGCAATCAGAATGCCTTGGTAAATTCCAATATGGGGAAGGCATCGATGCTGTCTCCAAACAATTAGATATCCATTACTGGCTCTTTCAAAAACGACCTCACGCTTGTTTTCTCCAATGGTGCTGTTGCGCTTGTAAAAGTTAATTGCGCGACAAACCTTTCGGTTTGGATGCGTGAAGTCTGCCTTTGCACTGCATCTAGCCGCAATACACCGGCAAATTGAAAGCCGCTTTGCAAAAGTATAATCGCACGAGGCACCGGCTGGACCATCCCAAGATTTCAGCTCAAACACACAAGGGATGCCTTCAATTCTCAATCGTGATTTCAGTGCGACTTGAAGTCATCAAAACAGAATATTGGTCAGACATCCGCTGCACCCGTGGCACAAGGCTTGTTAATTGCGCAACCAACCATGTTCTCGAATCATTCCCATATGTATCTTGCACGCAAGTCAGCAAAATAAAAGGAAACATTAAATTAGGAACCAACATAGGCACAACATGGCCCCGGGATGACCCAAAATGTTCCTTTTGGGCCGGGTAAAGGCTAAAAAGGGACACGCCGTTCTTGGCCCAACATAGGCTCAACATGGCCCAACATGGCACTGCATGGCATAGCACAACATAGGTCCAACATGGACCAACATAAGCCCCAACATGGGCCTAACATGAGACCGAAAAAGTCGCATGTTCTTTTAGGCCTTGATAGAAAGGTTAAAGAGAACAGAATAAAGTTATGTTTAGCCCCCATTTTGGGCTGTGGTTCGGCCATCTGTGGTCCCGAAAATCGTTTCCAGAGACCTCATGGAACCTTATTGGACAGACCGTTCTTGCCCCAACATACGACAAACATAGGCCTAACATGGCCCCGACAAACCCCACCTTCAGCCATTTGTGTCATATACATTCATTAACAATGAAGTAGTAAACCCCACAATACATTCAGAAACAAGTTATTTGACATGGGTAATATACCCCTTGGTTTGGCACTGCCAAAGGGGTTGAAAAGGGCGACTTTTTGCGCCCAAAAAGGGACCCAAAAACAAAGAAAAAAGTCGCCATTAAAAATCCCAAACCAAAACGAATTTTACTATTGACATTAGCCCAAACATTCCAAAGGACATGACATAGTGTTTGCAGTGTAGCCTTGGACCACACCAAGCACAGATTCCGATCCAGCACATGTCAGTACAGCACTTAGACCTGGTCCTGGATGCACTGGTGCGTTCCAACGACCACATCGACGCAGCAAAGGAAGGAAGCTTGGCAGGTGATACCCTGGCATGGAAGATCTATAAACGAACAATCCCTCTGTCTCACAATCCTTCTCCCTATCTAGCTTTCTCCCTATCTATCTATCTATCTCCCTATCTCCCTATTCTATCTATCTCCCTATCTCCCTATTCTATCTATCTCCCCATCTACCTCTCGACCTAGCTACCTATCCACCCAGGAAAATTCGGGAACCGAAGGGTTGGGGCTTGAAGCAAGTATGGCTGTAACAAAATCTTCGTATCACCATCGGTGAACTGGTTGGCTCCATCAAAGCCTCAAGTCGAGAGGAATTTTGAAGCCTAGTTGGGCCATGGAAGACTTCAGTTGAGCCGTTTTTGGCAGGTATATTTAATATACCTGGCCGGAATCTCCTAACTTGAGGCTTTGATGGAGCCAACTTGAGGAGTTTGGAGGCTTAGCTGGGCCATGGAAGGCCTCAGTTGAGCCGTTTTTGGCAGGTATATTTAATATACCTGGCCGGAATCTCCTAACTTGAGGCTTTGATGGAGCCAACTTGAGGAGTTTGGAGGCTTAGCTGGGCCATGGAAGGCCTCAGTTGAGCCGCTTTTGGCAGATATATTTAATATACCTATCTACCTATCTACCTCTCCATCCGTCCATCTATCTGTTACTCTATCTATCACCCTACCCACCCATCTATCTGGCCAAGCTTGCCATTTGTCTATCAACTTCTTTATTTACATCTGCACGCCACGCTGCAGTCCTCAAAAATGCTTGCATGCAGAAGGAGAACCATAACAACGCCCACAACAACACTCACAACACTCACAACAATCACAGCACTCACAACAACCACCACCACAACAACAACAACAGCAGCAGCAGCAACAACAACAACCACAACCACAACCACAACAACAACCGCGGCCAACCACCAACCACTAACCACCAACCACAATGATGACGACGACGATTGCTACTGCTACTGCTACTGCTACTGCTACTGCTACTCCTACTCCTACTCCTACTCCTACTCCTACTACTACTACTACTACTACTACTACTACTAAGAAGATTTCCCTTGAAAGGGGTCCTTGAGGTGAAAGGGGTCCGCGCGCGCGCGCGCGAAAGGTCTCAAAATTGAAGCCATTTTTGGGCGCGCGCGCGCGCGGACCCCTTTCACCTCAAGGACCCCTTTCAAAGGAAATTTTGTTTACTACTACTTCTACTTCTACTTCCACTTCCACCACTACTGGGACTACCAACTCAACTTGACCTTCAAACAAAATTTCCGTAAGGGTTCCTCGGGGCGAAGATTTCCTGAGTTGCGTCGGCACACCAGCCCAAAACCCCTTTTACCCCGAGGACCCCTTTCAAAGGAAATCTTGTTTCATATTCATGTGTTTTTAGGAAACCAAAAAATCGAACCTAGAAAGGGGGCTTATAATAAGCGTAGCCACTAGCTGAGTCCGACAAGAAGAACAAGAATAACATTCAACAATCAACAGAAGCAGCAGAAGCAACAGCACCACACAAGCCTACAAATTCTCCCCCAAAGGGCAGGGCAGCATCGCGAAGCGACCAACAATCAACACGCTTGCCCAAAACTGCTCATCATACCATGGCACCACCCAGTCAAAGAACCTAATGTTCATTGACTGTTCATTGGCGCCATGTGGGATAGCACAGCAAATCCCGCCGCAGCCTGAGCGGGGATAACGCAATTCCCCATTACCTTCAACCTTTGCTTGGCTTCCTCGTCATGATTCGGCACAAGCCAACGATCAAAGCTGCTTTGGCAAGCCAGATTCCATGGCTTGGACACCAGCATGTCCATCGCCGGGGCGTCCTGCAAGTTCCAAGAAATCACAAATACCTCTACCCTTTTCCTTGGAGAAAGAAGCTCAGCTATGCTTGGAAACAGAGAATGTCCTTGAACACTTCAGGCATCAGGCCGGGCTTGAAGGCGATGAAGAACACGCGTCCCCTTTCAGCCTTAGGGTGGAGGAAGAGTTCCGACCAAGCCACCAAGAAGAACTCATCGTGAAACCAATCGCAACAAATCACAACCGACTGGGCCAGCTGCTGGCAACCCCACTTGATTCAGCTTCACCAGCGTCCACGTCAGCTGCATCCCTCTCGCCCAAGTCTCCTACAAGA